CCTGGTGGCCAGCACAAGCTTGCAGGATCCTTGCCGCTGCTCTGACATCATCCTTTACCACCTCCATTATGCATTTTCCGATGATCCGCCTCAGCACTTCCCCCACCCCAATAGGCCTACATCCTGGATTCTTATCCAGGGGAAATGAGGCGGCAAGCCGTTAGAGCATGGAGGTGTTGGCAGCACGAGGTTGCTAGCTTTCTTGCAAGGGCGGCAATGGCAGTGCAGAGATCACTTGTTACGGGGCCAAACGTGTTAGTGCTGAGGATGACTCTCCAACCGTTTGCATGCAGACCTGAAGGGCCAGCCTGTCCCTGAGTTTTCAGTGCCTTTTTCCACACCATCCCTCCTGTTATTTTCTCGAACAGGACAGCATTTGGTGGGATATGATCACCCTGGAACCTGATGCCTTCCTCTTCACTTGCAGGGGGATGTTTTTCCTTCAGTTGTTTTAATGTCTCTGTTTATTGGCAGAACACCACCGGAGGATTCCTCTGCGAGAGATCTTACCGCCAAAGACACTTTTCCCACATACATTTTGTTTCCAAACTTTCTTGCAACGTCATCAGTGTTTTGCTTTCCGTCTCCTATAATTTTAGTCTCTCCTGCAGTGTTCTTGCTTCACATAGATCATCAAGGGCCCCATTCTGCCACATTGTCAATCTTTTCTTCATTGCAATCATATTTTCTTTGTGCTTAGTCTTTGTGTGTGTGTCCTCTGACAGAATAGATGTGGTATTATTGTCAGTATTTGAAGAGCTAAAGGGGCAAGGAAGCAGTCCTGAGTGTACTCGGTTATGAAGCAAGTCATCTCCCGAATCATTTCTTTGGTGGCTGCACACTTGGGTGGTTGAAACAGGTTAGCTGGCGACCACCTGGCAATTTCTGAGTAAGTTTCTTTAACCCATATATCCGTATTTTTCATCAACATGCCATTCCACTGTGGTGGCTGTCTGCCATTCACCTCGTGGACATCTGCTACGACTGGAGCAGCGCTTATTGGTGCTACATTTTCAGGTTGAGTAGACTCACTGCTATCACTTAGGATATCATCGTGTGGTTGGGTCCACTGTGACCTCCTGTGTCGGCTCCCTACCATGTGGGTTCCGACAATTATTTCCCTTTCTGCAAACCACACATGGTCGGTTGTTTCTCGCACAATTACAGCTAGTGCAATTTTGGTTCTGGCTAGCACAGATGCAACAATGACTGTTACCCGGCATAGTGTTCCGCACTTCGGGCGACAGTTACGTCCACCTCCGACATCTGCTTTAGTCCCATACAGAAGAAGAAACTAGTTCTTATGAGTAAAGGGCAGAGAGGTGACAGGCTGGACTGCTGTGTCCGGGTAGTAGGGGCATACGTGCGATCGTGGGTGTGTAGGCCACCCCCCTGTGGGCAACAATGCGCACATCAGAGTGATTCACTGGGAGCAAGAATTATCACTCCTAACACTTGTTTATATATCCTTGGCAGAAATAACCACTATTTTTATGGTTGCACTGATGTAGGATTAGTTATATATACTCACTTGGTCGGCTGTCACTACATGAAGTGACCATTACTTGTGGGAGGTGACAACAAGAGTACAACACTTGGCCTTCTGTCACTGACCACAGAGGCGAGAGTCGCGAGGCGACCCCCGCCAAAGTAGGCCTATCGACACTGGCACTGGCACCTGACATCTGCACTAGCCGTCCCGCCAAGCACTCACAACTCGTTTGGTTATCGCCGGTGAACACACGGAATATTTGTGATTAATGCCTCAAGGGATGAGAAGAACCTCCAGTGACAATGCTCAGGGTGACATCCGATATCCACCGACACACTGTGAAATTCCCACTCCCGCACTCTGAAAGTGTCCCCTCCAATAACACTTTAGATCAGGGAGGACACTCCACCACACTGGCCGCCTACTACTACTACTACTGTACTACTGGTGCATGTTACCACTCCTTTCCACTCCATCTCTCTAATCACCCACACCTTTCTGCTTTCTCACTCCATATTTTAAAATGTTATGTAATGTAATATTGAAGGGATACAACTTTGTTCACTTATACTTATACTTATCACAATCCCCCGAAAAATACTTTAGCTTTCGTGTTTATTCAAGACATCTTCAGGTCATGAGACTCACCAGTCCCCCAGCCAAGAAAGGGTGACCTGACATTCCATCAGAAGGTCAATAATAAGAGACCACTAATCCCCCACCCTACCTCCACCTGACATTGTATCAGGTCAGGTCAGTTACATGAGACCCACTAATCCCTCACAGCTCCATGGGAGTGGAAAATACCAGTCTGTGCTGAAACACAGTTTCATTCATGCCCAAATCATGAAGAGTTTTAGGTTTTAAATATATTAATTTAAAAAAACTTTTAGATAAACTATTCTGGATTATTATTGTAAGGAAATGGAATTTCTAATTTACTATACAGTGAGGTATGCTATAACGAATGGATTCTACTACGAATATTCCTATAACGAACGGTTTTACCTATAAAATTGAGAATGCTATAACGAACGAAACTCCTACGACGAACATTTTTTTATTTTATTTTTTTATAATTTATTGTTTTTTTTATTACAAGTATTAATGATATTCTTTATTTCAGGAGTTTCGATGCATATTTATGCACTTTTTAAAATTTTTACAATTTTATATTATATATTTCAGTGTTAAGTGGTTGTATTTGGGGGCCTGGAACGGATTAATCCTATAACGAAAGAATGCTATAACGAACAAGGTTCTAGAACCAATTAGATTTGTTATAGCATACCCCACTGTAATTAGAACCGCATTTACAGACTCCGGTAATTTAGACTCAAGGAAAACATCCCCAGCACCCAGAAACATTCTGTGGAAAAGCCCTAGTGTCAGTCTGTGCAAGGTGTCTAGTTTAGACAACCCAGACACTTTTCCCAGTGACTGGAAAAGATTCCGGGGATAAGGAATTTTTCCGGGTTTGAGAAAGTCGTCTGGTTAGCCGGAAATCTCTCAGAGTTATGTACTTTGTATTATGTCACTAAGTTTAATGATCTTATGTAGGTAAGAAAATATATATATATTGCAAAATGATTAGTTATCTAAAAAATTATAGATGGATAATATAGCAGATTCTATATACTGAAGACTTAAAAATGTTCTATGCATGGTCGGGTTACTGGGTACTTACTCCCTTGTGTCCCTAATCTGTTTGTGATGTAAAGTTTTATTTATTTATTTGTTTATTATTATTTTTTTTTTATAAATTTTCACCACTTATCAGCTGTTTTGGCTTTTCGGGTGGTTGGTCTATCCAGTGTTAGTGCAGGAGGCCACCGGAGATCGGGAAACCTGTGATGTTTGGTAGTGAGGGTCACACTGGATAACACCCTTGTCATGTGTGTCTGTGCCAAGCAGGATTAGAACCCTTGACATATTAGTGAGAGATATGTGTGTTACCGCTGTACTAATGTGTGGAAGATATTGAACATTTCTGATGTGTAATATCTGTCTGGTATTCCTGAATCCAATCAGGTAATTTTTTTTTTATAAACAAAGCTTGTTAATCGTGCACACATTCCCAGATTCGGAAGATAGATACAAATATTCTTATAAAAAATAATAAACTTTTATATTGTGCCACATTAAAGGAGTAGCTAGAGCTTAGAATGCTTTTCTTTTGATGTTACACTCAAGTAAATTTAATAAAAATGAGTAAAAATGAAAACAGGCAAGTGAATGTTAGTTGAAAGAGACAGCCTGGAGGTGGTGAGGTGTTTCAGGAATTTGGGAATGGATGTGTCAATGACTGGAAATAAATCCCAGGGTAACTGAAGTAAGATAATTAATAGATGCAATGAGAAATGTATGGAGCGAGAAGAGTGCCAAGCAAACATGGAGATATATACCGTATTTTATGGCATATAAGATGCACATTTTGTCTGAAAAATAGTTATAAAAATCAGCCTGCATCCTATATGTGAAGTTGTGGTCTCCCATAAGTGAATGAACCCCCCAGGTGCTGTCTCCAGTTGACTAAATTCTACCTAACCCAACTCCAGAATTAAAACTATGCTCTTGCTTACTTAAACACATTATTATTATTTTTAATTAATTAAAAAAAAAAATTACTGTACAGTATATATAAATGCTAAATTTTTAACTACAGTACCGATGATAATAACCTGAGATGATTAACGTCCCAACTCTTCAGGGGGTACCTAAGCAGTAACCATTTCTGAACTCTTACAAGCATTACAATCTATTAATGCCATGCCTGCAACATTTATTTTTAAATCTACAAATACCTGTTACAAATGAAGATTCACATATAACTTTCTTTTCACTTTTATATCTGTTTACATCGCTGGTGGCATTGTAGCCAGGTTAGACTCGTCACTGTAACCACCAGGCTACTGGGCCAAGCTGTGAGGTGATATGGTTGTTTTTCAACTCGTATTTTCAAGTGTACATGTGCATCCGTAACTTTCTTCATTTATTTTTACTCGGTTATATGCATAAACCATCCTACATGTATATTGTGAAAAAAGTAAAAGAAATAACGGTCCTAAGGGAAAATACATAGAGGGAATATACACATCTTAGCACACAAGTTAGTTGGCTCACTGGGGGAGTGGGAGGAGGAAGTCAATGTAGTGGAGCATTGCTAGGGAATCAGCGGAGGTGGCACCTCCATTGCTATGGTGAAGCAGGGAGTATATGCAAAGGGTGACTGTGTTAAACTTCCATTTAGTTTTTATTTACTGGTCTGGCTATACAGTATTTTTTGTTGTAACTTATTTATTGTAATTATTTTTATTTATTCCTCACATTTACTGGTGCTGTATATATTATTTTAAGAAAACTATGGCTACAGGAGGAAAATCCACTCCAAATTTTTTCCTAAATACTCCCTGCTAAAATACGGCCATGCATGTTATATACCGTAAAATACGGCAGCTGACTAAGTACAAGGCATTCGTCATCGTATCACCGTCTTCATTTTACTAACCTCTGCTGTCTTCCTCAATAATTTTATGTTTTCATAAGCTTTGGGGTTAATTGCTTTCACAGCTCTGGCAACACGAGACTTCATAACCTGTTTCAGAATGACATTCAGTTTTGTTTCTGGAGCTGTCTCATTGTGACCTGAAGGCCCAAACCAGCCATCCCAGTGGTGTCCAAATCCTTGAGGATCTGAAAAAAAAAAGAGGAGAAAATGTGCCATACAATGTGAAGTTATTAAATCAACTGACTTTAGTTATGATTAACTCGGTAACTGTGGTACAGGATCATATTTTAATGTTTTATTGATAAATACTTACATGAATTATTTTAGATTTGCTAGAAATTTCCTTCCTTTCTATCAATGACTTACTGGTTCAATAAAATTTTGAATGGGTTTACTAAGAGAATTAATACCAAAATTTCCCCTCTAATTATTCTACTACTTCCTATTGGGTAGTTAAATCTAGGCCTAGGTAAACCCCCAAATCAAACAGAAACCAGTAAGCTGTGTCAGTGTTGAGAGTACCAATGGAATAAGAGATGCATGTCATAACCTTAAGTTTTGAATACTCTTGTAAGCAACTTTTCCACAATCATAAACAACTTAAGTTAGCTTGTAATTCTGCCAAGTTCAACAGGGCCTCCATTAGTTTCCACACCATCAGCAACAGTCTATTTACTTATTTTTTTTGTAAAAAAAGTTTCCAGTGTGTTGCATTGTGGACTATATATTATCCAACCCACAAGATAGACTTTTGGTGCAAATTTGGAGCAAAATTGACCAAGTGTTACCATCCAACAGTTCATGCTATGATAACAGATGATATTAATTTACATTAACAGTGTCATTAATTTATCACAATAGGGTCTCAGAATACAGGAGGGTTACGTTCTGGGAGCCTCTCATACGAGTGAATTTTGGGTATATTCGGGACCCCCCTGTATATAGTATACATAAAACAGTTTTTTTACAATAAAATAACCCTACCCAAGGTAAACAACTATGCAAACTCCCACAATTCATGTACCCTGTACAGTGCAGAAACAGCTTAAATGATCAATAAGTGTACATAAATATTATCAACAGAAATTTTATAAAAATTAAAATAAAAAAGGTTTTGAGAATCTCACTTTCACGATGTTTGATGGACAGCACGGATGACTTGTTCACGTGGATAAGATGCACGACTTCAGAGTTAGATACTGTACACCAATCCTTAATAAGCCCAATATCTAGACATTTTCTTCAAAACTTCTCACAGTATGCACATTTTTATGTTTATCACTCTTGAAACCACGAGGACTGCCACTAAATTTCCTCTTAGGGCCCATGATTGTAGTAAAATTTGACAAAAAAGAAAAACTTTATGAGCACACATGCCTGGGAGAGAGAAGGATGCTTGGGTGACACTTAAGATGAGGCTCATTGACTAGCTAGTGATATTATTATTGTCACAATTTATTAGGTAACCCCCTTCTGGCAATAAATCCATCCAGCTGCACCATCAAAATGGATAATTACATATATACTATAAGTGTTTAAATGATGAAAAAAGACTATGATTATGAAGTTATATGATAAATAGAAGGGACACAGGGTGGGTAGATGCTATTCTCACACAAAAGACCCAAAGTTAGTGAGAGATACTGGTGGTAGACGCTTTTCTCATGCGAAAGATGCTAAAGTGAGCAAGCGATGCTGGTGGGTAGAACTTGATTGTGATGAAAAAGATGCTGCCGGGAGCTAGCAAGAGATGCTGGGTAGGTAGATTCGATTCACAAGTAAAAGATGCAAAAGGGTGGATCAAGGGTCAACCACATTTAAATGGGTTCATGTATTCTGGATACGCATGTCATGGGTTGCGTTGGGCCTACCCACGCAACTCAACTCAATGTTTGTTTTACGGGAGATAGGCGAGCCGTGACTCCGTCATCACTATTTCATTAGTGGGCATGTGAGCCAGGTTATGGGGAGGGGGGGGGGGGTTGTTGATTGAGACAGTGTTGTATTGTCCATAGTGTCTCACACCTCAAAACCACATTTTTAGCCAGTAGACCCTAGACCATGGGAATAGGGTGCTACACAGAATCTTTTAACACGATTCCGTCCTGTGGACTGTTAGTGAAAAGAGACTATGTGTGTGTCAACCCAAGTCACCTGCCCAGTTCTCCTGCGCGACACCGTCTAAAATGTTTCACGAGACTATGTGTGCCAACCACAGAGGCTTTATTATTCCTCGTGGAAAGAAGATCAGGTGTGAAGGCCTGGTTGCAACAAGAGTGATCCAGGCTGGCAGTAAATGTATCACTTGAGGAAGTAAGGCTGTGTTAAGTCATACCATAGTAGAGTAATCAAATGTGCATCCCCAGGTTGAAAATTCTCTCTTTACAAGATTAATTTTATTATGGCGTGAATGAGTGACTCGTATACCCGTGCAAATTATAAATCATAGTATGGAAGCTTGCTAAATAAATGTAAGTGCAATTATCTGCCTGTATCTGTGATCCCTATCTTATTATTCTATGTTTGTCTTTGATACCCCCAAAATGTTCTACACTACGGAGGGTATACGCAAACACTTGTTATCTTGAAAATTGGTTCTTATTCTCGTACGGGAGATATACAGAGGAAACAAATAGACAGTGGGCTTCCACACCATAAGGACTAGCGATCTCAACTCTCTGTATCACTCCGCGCTGGCATGTACAGATGCCAGCATTCACAAGCTGAATACATAATATGTAAATATGATAATTCACATACATAACATGGCGCATAATAAATTGAAATATTACATAGGATTAATACATGTTCTGCAATACTTTACTATACATAATTAATAGAGTAATATAAGAATACACAGCTTAAGGTACTACTTCGTGTCCATATTATACACCTCCCTCCCCCCTATACGCTCATAGTTTCATCTTGAGCGGACCTTTTGTTTCTGAGTCGCTCAGACCTGCGGAGTACCGGGGCAGAAACACAAGGTGGGGATGGATTTACTGTAAAGACATCAGCATTAGGGAACTCTACTGGGGAAGGGTCAACACTAGGCAGCTCCACAGGTCGGAGGAAACGACGGTTCCTCCACCATACTCTACCACTAGGAAGACGCACTTGGTAGTCCCTGGACCGGCCAATGCCCATGACAACCACAACCTTGTCCCAGCGGTGAGATACCGGATCTTGAATCCTGACCTGCTGGCCGATATTCAAACTGGGAAGGGGGCGGGCATGACAGTCGTACCGAGCAGCGACATCTGCGGCTCGTTCTGCTGCACGGCGGTCACATTCTTCAGTCTTGGCTTGCCATTCTTGAGAAAAAGACTTCGGGTGGGCAGGAACACAACACCTGAGATGATGTCCATATAGAACCTGGGCTGGGGAGCGTCCGGTGAAGTTCGGGGTGTTGCGTAACTTTAACAAATCTCGATCGAAATCCTCGCAGTCAATATTTCCTGAGGGTGACACCTTAAGGATCAGGTGTTTAACAGTCTTGACTGCGGCTTCAGCGTGTCCATTCGCCTGGGGGTAGTGGGGCGAGGTCACGACATGACAGACTCCCCAACGGTCCATGAAGTCCCGGAACTCGTGGCTGGTGAACTGGGGTCCTCCATCAGTCCTGAGACGGAGGGGAACACCAACTTCTCTGAAGTAATGTCTGAAATTCCGGATGGTAGCAGTAGCCGTTGTATCACTACCACAAGGGACGACAACAGGCCATCCAGACAATCGGTCGGCAATGACGAGGAAGGACTTCCCTGCCACTGCAAAGAAGTCGGCCGACACAGACTCGAAGGGTCTTGAAGGGTTATCGTCGCACATTAAAGGTTCTTGTTGCTGGCTGGGTTGCAGAATCTGGCACGGCTCACAGGCACGGACGGTACTTGCAATGTCCGCGTCGATTCCAGGCCAAAATACAGTCTGCTTCGCCCATCGCTTGGTGGCCTCCACTCCTAGATGGCTGTCGTGAAGGCGGGTCAAGGTACGGCGGCGTAGGGCAGCAGGAATGACTACTCGTGGACCATACAAGACGAGGTATCCTTCACAATAGAGGTCCTCGCGTATCTTCCAGTACGGGAGTAGTGATTCATGAAGGTCATATCGGTTAGGTGAAAATCCCTGGGACACATAGTCGACGAGCCGGATATAGGAAGGGTCGGCCCGGGCTGCGGTGTGGAGATCTTCAAGGGTCTTGTCTGCATCCGGTGCTGTAGACTCTTCTGATGTGAAGACAGCCTTCAATGAGACTACTGACTTGAGGGATGCAGCAGCGACTGACAGGGGCGCGGGACAGGGCATCCGGGATGCACAGCAGCTTACCCGCACGCCACACAGCCGTGAAGAGATAAGGCGAGAGCTTCTCTTTCAAACGTTGAAGGCGAGGATTCTCTACTGCATCAAAGAGTAGTGATTGATAATAGGTACAAGAGGGCGATGATCCGTGAAGAGGGTGAAGTGCTGAAGTCCTATCAGGTAGAAGCGGCACTTCGCCATCGCCCAGACAACAGCCAACATCTCCAGTTCAATCGTGGCATATCGGGTCTCGGCGTCCGTCAGGAACCGGGATCCACACTGAATTAAGCGGAGTTGTCCATCGCCATGGTCCTGCAGAAGGGCGTAACCAACGCCGTAGAGTCTGGAGGCGTCAGTCTGGAGGATGGTGGGTAGGGCTGGGTCATAACAGGCGAGGACAGGTGGACTCAAGAGGGCCTGCTTGACTCGCTGGAAGGCCTCTTGATGATCTGGGGTCCACAGGAATGTCCTCCTGGGGCTCAGGAAGGGGCGTAACGGCTGGGCTGCGGCGGAGATGTCAGGTGAAAATTCAGCCAGCTGATTGACCAGACCCAAAAAAGAACGGAGGTCTGTCAGGTTGGCAGGGGTTGGAAAATCCCTCATTCCACTTAATTTCTCCGGGTCAGCTGCGATACCTGATGCTGAGAGAGTGTACCCACAGAAGTTCACTGATGGTGCGGCGACTACAAACCTGTCAGCGTTGAGGGTAATCCCGTACTTTCGACATCTGGTGAGAACTTCATATATTCGGGAGAGGTGGGCACAGTAGTCTTCGTCATGGAGTAAAATATCATCAACCACCTTGACACAATTCATGACTCCTTGAAGGGCCGCGTCACCACGTTGACAGAATGCATCGCCCGTAGCGGCAAATCCCATGGGGCCTCTG